ACTCATGGTCTAACTTTCCCATGGTGTATACATTTTAAAGATGATATGAATTCATGACAATCTATATAAAATAGGAAGTGGAAATGATGTTATATACTCACGAGGTAAAAATCTTGAGAGTCATAAAAGATTTGAAGCATCTTCTCCCGCTTCTCTTCCAATGACAACCCTCTTTTCTTTGACTATGACAGCATGAAAATGAAATGAGGTTGGAAATGATAAATAGATACAATTAGCATTATCGCCATAATCCTAAGATACACAAAAGATTTACACTAAAAACAACAGCTGAAAAACAACAGAGGAGCTTTGTTGCTACTTATGTTCCCATATTCAAACAACTTGTTTCATCGTGACCTTGATGCTTTACCAAATTATACCATTTAATTCTATTATAACTTCAGTCTAAAGCAGCTACTGAAGACCAAAACTATGTTCGAGCTAGACAAACCATAGCAGCAAAAACACATAATCATTCATTGACCTTTTCTCCTTACGTGAATCCTTCATAAGCAATATCAGTGTTTCATCATGTTCATAGAGGCAAAAAGAGTTCAAATAAAACTAAATGAATTTGAGCATGGACGAACACAAAGTTAACAAGTGAATTTCTGCAAATTATTAATTGAGGCAAAATTAGGGCATGAAACGAACCAGTTATTCCATTGACTCGATGTTAAATTAACACCGCACTTCCATAGATCAGACATTGAGGAAGTATCACTATCGATTTACGAACCTATTACAACAGCATATGATTCGAAAATCTAAAGAACTTTATACAGCTATGATGTGTATTTATGTGGAAATCTCATAATAAATTTAACAAACAGATTAATTCCACACAGATTCACGATATACATCGGAAAACAAAATCAGTACGCAATAACTATACAATCAATCTCGATTCAAAAGTTTCAGCTGTCAAACAAATGGATTATTGTGTGAATGACATCTTCGCAACGAAATATGACAAAGAAACAGATTAATTCTTCAATAGATTCACGATATACATCCAAAAACTAAATCAGCACGAAATTGTTATACATACCATCTGGAATTTCAATATTTCAGCTGCTGGTGTAAGTGGATTGTCGAGAAAGAATGATCTGTGATGTTTGAGTGTGAAAAAACCCCTGGGGCATATCATATTCGATGTGGCGGGAAAGATGAAAAACGATTATAAATTACATGAATCGTCCCTATGGTTTGACTCAATTCGCTACTTTCGTCCTTATGTTTTGTTTTTCATTAACGCCCCTTGTAATTTTGAAAGATGCACGTTTCATCTCTAGATCTATTAGCTATTTTTTTTTTCACCCTCTCATTATTTTTCTCCCTTCTTCACTCTATTACCCCATTCTTCCTTATTCTCTAACCTTGAAATACAAAGTAAAAAAAAAAAAAAAAAAAAAAAAAAAAAAACCCAAGAAAAATGTTGATAAGACACAGGCTATCATTCTGACTTTATGGAGCAATAACATCACATTAATATGTTTCTATTGTTATTCCAATTAGGTAACGTCAAATGCACAAAAATCTAACATTGCCTCCAATTTTTTAAAACCCTAACAATTGCAAATGTGTGTAATTTTTGGGGATCTAATTATTGATTCATTAGTTGGGTGGATGGCTAAACTGTAGGGATGTCAAAGGGAGCAAATAGGACAAGGGTTGCATCCCCCACTCTCACCCCCGAAATTTCCCCATTCCCCCGCTCTCGCCCCTAAAATCTCCAACCTCCCCACCCACGCCCTCGAATTCCCCGAATTCCGGGACGGGATTACCCAACCTCAAAATTAAAACGAGGGTTAATCTTGCCCTTGCCCCAATTTTTTAAATAAATATACTATATACGGGATCGAGGCCCCACAAGACTTTTTGACATCCGTAGACCATAGGTGTGATTGTATGAACTCCATAAACAAACTTGAAGAACAAAATCGAAAATTAAAGTTTCACATTCTTTTAAGTTAAATTATGTCTATGGACATCCTTATATACAAATTATAGATTTAATAATGTTGGATATTTAACATATGTTAGAATATGTATTACGTAAAATGTTTTTTGGGAAATTAATGAAAAATTTATTTTGGTTGTTAAATTTAGAAGATTGTTATGTTGTTGACATCGTTGGAGTTAATGTTTATATTAGATTTGTTGGAATATGTATCGATTGGTTTATCTATGTTCTTGTTTGGCAAATCTTGTGATTTTTTATTTAAGGGGGTGGTTGGGTTAAGACTAGACGCAACACATGCCTTTATAGACACGTCACGTTTGGTCGTATGTCTGACGGAACGCGTCCTTTATTTGGTGTAACACGTTTTAACTGTCGGCCTAAACCTTAATTCTCATGTGTGAGCATGTTTAAAGGCATTAACTCTTAGGGTTTATCTCACTCATCAGCCTCCACCTCTAGACAAACCCTAAAAGTAGCCCTAACCACCCTCATTTTTTGTATTCTTGAGTTTTAGTGTGTTTGTGAGTAAACTTGAAGAAGGAGAATGTGTTTTGGTGCTTGTGAAGCTATATCCAAAGTTGTTATATCATTGTTACCACCTTTTGAACATCTGTAAGTCTTCAATATCCAAACTTTATGAATACATGCTTCTAAATTTAGCATTGTGTGTTGTTTTTGTCCTTTTATGATGTTTCCTTGGAGTTTGGGGAAGCTACAAGTCCAAAGCTTGTATTAAGTTGTTTTATAGACTCATTAGGGGTGAAAAGAGGTGCATGCTCAAGCCCTCCTTGAGTCATGCATTAAGCTTCTAACATTTTTTTGCCTCTTTTAGATATACGGTTTTGGAAATGTTGCATGTGGCTTTCATATGGATAAAGTTTGAAATTTTATCTATTAAGACAAGTATTAGAAATATTCTGGAAAGTTTAAACCATTGGCTTAAAGATTAAGCACCTAACGAGAGAAGTGCTTATGCCCAGAAAATATGGTGTGTCGAATGGAGGGTTCGTAACTGTTTTGTCTTTATTAGACGTGTCACGTCAGAAGTAGGAAGTCATGCATCTCTTCATTGACCGTTGACCTTTTGACAAATTTAACTTTTGGTCAAACTTGCTAAAAACTTGAATGATGGACTAAGATTTAGGTGTTGTTTAAATAATAATAATAAATAAAATAAAATAAAAAAAACTCTACACACCATTTTTTGCTGCGCGGCGCAACACTTGCTCTCTTGCAACAATTTGTTTTTTGGAAGGCTTCATATTACAAAACATTTGCGCATGTTCTGCACGGCGCAATACTTGACTTGCATCTTCAAACTTCTCCAGCTTTCATTTTTTTCCAAGTGATTTTTTTTTTAATTTTGGTATAACTTGTTTTTTTTTTAATTTGATTTTTTTTTAACTTTGATTTACGGATTTGATACAATTTTTTTTTATAGTTTCCACAATTTTTTTATAACTTGATTTAAAAAAAATTGATTTTTTAACTTTTTTACCGTTTCTGTTAATAATATTTTCAGTTTTAGTTGCATCTTTTTTAACATGTGCAATTATTTTACGAACTTTGTAGAATTGTTTACAATATTTTCTTTTTTTTATTTTTTAAAATTAGTTTTTTTATAGAATAAAACTAATAATTTCTTTTACATTTTTTTTAGAAATTTTATATTTTTGTTTTTTTTACCTATTCTTTTTAGTATTCTTTGAATATTTGAGACTAAAATTACTAAAATATTGGTGTTGAAAACTATTTTCAGTTTATAAAATTAGTTTATTTAAATTTTAGTTTATGAATATTCGCTTCGAAAAAACAAACAACACCTTAGTCTCTGTTTGATTTAGGTGGTTTGTGTGGCTAATTCTTTGATGATGGTGCTCCTAGTTAAGCATGACTAAGGTGTTGTTTGTTTTTTTAAAAAAACTTCTTCAAACCACTTTCTGCTGCGCGGCGCAGCAAACGCGCGACATTTTCCCTCTCGCAGCTGTTTGTTTTTTGGAAGACTTCAGACTGCAAAACCTCCGCGCGTGTGTTGCGTGGCGTCGTACTTGACTTGCCTCTTCAAACCTCTTCAGCTTTTATTTTTTTGAAGTGTTTTTTTTAGAATTTTGGTATAACTTTTTTTTTTAAACTTTTTTTTAAAAAAACTTTTATTTACGGATTTGATACAATTTCTTATTATAGTTTCCACAAATTTTTTTAACTTGATTTAAAAAAAAAAAAAAAAAACTTTGATTTTTTTTTAATTTTTTTATCTTTTCTGTTAATAATATTTTCAGTCTCGGTTTCATCTTTTTTAACGTGTATAATTTTTTACGAACTTTGTAGACATCGTTTGCAATACTTTCTTAATTTTTTTATTATTTTCTTTTTTATGTTTTTTAAAATTAGTTTTTTGTAGAATAAAGTTGTTAGCATCTTTTATATTTTTGTAAGTTTTTTTAAAAGTTTTATATTTTTTGTTTTTTTATATGTTCTTTTTAGTACTCTTTCAATGTTTTAATACTAGAATTATTAAAATTTCGGTGTTGAGAACTATTTTCAGTTTATAAAATTAGTTTATTTAAATTTCAGTTTACTGCAGATGTTAAAAAACAAACATGCTTCTTATTATGGACTGCAGCCGTTTGTTCCACCTCTTCTGTTATAGAGGATTGCAGAGGTGGTCCGCAGACTTCATGAATTTTCGCTTCGTAAAAACAAACATCACCTAAGTTTAATGCTAAAAAAGATGGTGGCTCATGTAACAGAAAATTAAACTTGGATGTGCATGATAAAGTTGAAGGTGTTCAGGGTTAGGGGCTGTTTGGCAGGATCTGAATTTTTAAGATCTGAATTTTTAAGAGGTCTGAATTTCTAAGAGGGTCTGAATTTTTAAGATCTGAATTTTGAATTGCTGTTTGGTTGGAACCTCTGAATTACAGTGCTGAATTATAAAAATGACTATTTTACCCTTTTGTATTATTTTTGCTAAATTCAATGTTTTTGTTTATAAAACAACCAAATCAAACTTAAATGTATGAATAATTAATTATTAATTTATGTACAAATCTATAATTTTATCTATAATTCCAACTGGAAATGATTTCCTTTTGATGATTCTGTCTTTTCCTGTTGCTTTCCAATAACCATTCATTGTTGCTCGGCTTGATCTTCCACCATTTGGATACTTTCTATCTCTTGGGCTAAAAAAGAACCATTGTCGATCACCTGATTTTAGTTTTGATTGACCTGAATTTAAGAAGATATTAGTTAATATCAATTGTTGAAAGATTTAAAGATTCTTTCACATGATCACTTTCAAAACAACAATACAACCAAAAATTCCTCTAACCAGACAATAACATACAACAAAAGAATCAAAAGAAGAATATACAATAAGATTCAACATGACAATATCAAGATAAGTAATAAACAATCATGTAACTAATTCAAGAAACAAGATCCAAATGACCAGGCTATACATAATCAACCCCATCAATCAAATAATCGAAACACTTGAAGAAGTGATAAACCTAATGATTCAATAATCAAAAGAAATCAAAATAAACAAACCATAATGACCAAATAATCACATAATCAAAACACTTCATGGAATAAGATCATATACTTAATATTCAACATAAAAAAACAAAACCCATATCTGTAAACAAATCCAAATACAGTTAATGATATCAAGAGACAGTAAAATATAGTAAAATTAAGTGAAGGAATGTATACATACCAGGTAACTCTTCTGGATCCCACTTGTAAACATCAACTTCGCCGATGATGTCGAGCTTGAGCGATCGACCACAGATCTTCCTCTTCAGGCAATAAAGAACCAATTCTTCATCAGTCGGATGAAATCTGAAACCAGATCAACTTCTCGAAATCAATTGCTCCAGGGAGATGGTTGGGAGGAAGACGGATGCGACGAAGGGAGGAAGAATCAGGGTTCTTAAATAGATTACATAAAATCGATTTGAGAAAAATCTTACCTCTTGCTGTTATCTCCGAGTTTTGACGAAGCTGGAGGCAAAGGGGGTTGGCGGCGGTGACCGGACCGGAGGGCAGATGGGTGGAGGCGGCAGGTGTGCACGTCGAGAGAAGAGGCAAAGGCGGAAGTCTATACGTGAGTAGAAGGAACGGTGGGCAGAAAATGAACAAAGTCTTTTTTTTTCAGACTTCACTCTATATCTGAAATATTAAGAGGATATTAAAAAATTAAGAGACAATAATTAATAGGCTACCAAACGGTCTATATCTAAATTTTTAATAGATTACCTCTTAATTTTTCAATTAAGAGGTAAACAAACAGGGTCTTATTCCTACTTAAAATGCGTTGTCTCTTTTAGGCAATAACAAGTCCAATAGACATAGTTAAATTGTTCAAGATCTAGAACGAGAGCAATGCGAGATTTTATGTTCATAATACTAAACACTTTGTGAGGTTTAGCAGAGTTTGCCGCCATGAAGGATACTTGCAAGATTAGAAAGAAGGGTCATTTAGGGTTCTGCCGTGATGCATGAGAAGAGCCCGTGAAGAAGGAAGATATATAATAGGAAGGTAAAGATTTTACGAGGATTTCGAGGAAGGCAGAAGGCTATGATATCATGATAAGGCTAAGGGACACTCTTAACACCTTGCCATGTCAGCTTTTTGAGTGACACCTCATTTTTTTCCATTTAGCACCTAATATTAACATTTGGTAGCGAGTGGTAACACTCCTAGCACTCCATTTTTTTAATTTAATTTAATTATTTTATTTTAATAAACAAACATTTTTTTAATACTACACAAACATTTTTTTGATTTATTTAATACCACATAAAATAATTACCTTTTGGTTATCTTTCTTGTGTTTGTTTAATTTGGTTCCGTTTGTTTGATTTGGGCAAAAGTGTCATGTATTGGGCAAAAATATCATATGTTTTGAGACAAAAAACATGTAATTATACTTAGTTTTCTGTTCTAATATTGATTCCATTCCAATCTCCACTTGATTTCATTCCTATTCCTATCCAACATTTTTCTTTTTTGTCCCTATGCAGCTGTTGTTCCTGTTTTATTACTGATTCCATTCCAATCTTCATTCCATTCCATTTCTGTTCTAATATTGATGTTACAATCTATTAAATTACATTCTATTCTTGATTCCATTCCATACTAATCAAATGAACCATAACAAAAACGTTAAAATTGTCCAACTATAACACAAGGGTAAAACTGTCCAATTATAACAAAGGAACCTAAAACAATCCAAATTGCTCACAAAACCACATTATCTTCATAAAACAAATCTATGACAGTAAAGGGGCCAGTTAATACTGGACAAGCAATACATCACTTAATACTTGACTCACAATGTTGCCATTAAAGAAACTCATATCTTGATTTAGAAGTACTTGAACATATCTAGACCTAATAACAGTTGTCTGCCTTTCTCCAGTAAGAATCCAACATGAAACCTCTGAATGGAAGAGTGATTACAATTGATCTCATGAAGCAAATGGTTTTGAATCCCATTAGAAAATCCTTACGCTTTAAAATTGATCAGAATTATTTGATGATAGGAGAAAATCTAATTACTAGATTCACAAATAGCAATATAATCATTTTCAGAGCTGAAATTAAAAACATCACCAATTTTGGATTTGAAATTTCTTTATAAAGAAAAGAACAACAGCTCACGATTACTTGTGGTTTAGAATAAGAAGCATAAAGTTCTAATTACCTCTTTGAACCTATGAAAACGCAAATCCGAACTCTCATCGCCATGACTCGGCAACTGAATGATCTTAGCAACATAAGAAGCATAAAGTTCTAATTACCTCTTTGATCTCCTCCGTCTCCACCGCTACATCATCAATCCAAACTCCAATTCCCTTTCTCTGTCCAAGTTCCTGTGTGAATTATCGTTATCTCTCTCACACACAATAGTGTGTGTAGTTGGGTTTCTGGTAGCGACAATAGAGAAATTAAGAGAGGAATCAGAGGAAGGAGGGTTTTTTTCTTTTTCTAGTTGAAGAAGAAGAGCGAGTTTCAGTGGGTTAATGTCAAAACAAGAAATCGAAAGATTAAAAGGGTTTTTTTTTAGTTTCAGTGGGATAATGTCGAAAGAAGATGAAGAGATGTCTAAATCTGCTCTCTCAACTTTTAAGGCGAAAGAGGAAGAAATAGAGAAGAAAAAACTGGAGGTTAAAGAAAGAGTTCAAGCTATTGAAGAAAAAACCGTTTGGACCAATCACCTTCTCCATTTCCTTTCTCTCTCATCTCGCTAAAGCTTTAACAACTGGAGCATAGCGAGCCCCCTAGCGAGCGCTAGGGGACGGTGTTCTACTTGTTTTAACGAACTTAACGACCGACTTTAACACCTCCACTCCGTTCAGCCTAATATATTATGTTTATTGCCTTTCATTCTTTCAACATGAGATGATACAAGGGACATATACAAAACAACATGGGCCAATACCCTACTAAGGCCAAAATCCACGATGGGCTGTGATGGACTAAATACACCAAATATTAAAATACAGACTCTAACAATTACAAAACAAATAAAAAAAATATATCCACATAATTTCGAAAAATATAAATTACCAATCGGCCAAAATTTTGCTATGAAACAACAATGAACATTAAAAGAGATAATTTATAAGATTATAATAAAGGTTAAATTGTTATTATTATGGAATTAAATTTCAGGTTGTTAAGCTAGATGGCACTTGAAGGTAAATGATGTAAAATACCATTTTCATTTTTCAGGATCAGTGTAATTAGATCCGAGATCCACGTTATGCATTTACATTATTTTATAGGACATGATATATAGTATTTACTAATTATTAGTAGCAAAAGAAACAAAATCCGTTGTCGTCCAGCGGTTAGGATATCTGGCTTTCACCCAGGGGACCCGGGTTCGATTCCCGGCAACGGAATTTTTTACCAGCTTGCCATTCAATCATGGGTTCAGTCTATCTTGTGAGTTGTGATTCTTATGAATGTTATGTATCACATCACCACATGCCCCGTGTATCACCTTCACATTAAAATAGTGTAATTTTAACACAAATATCTTTTTACAAAACATCCACCGATAAAATATCTTTAATATTTTCATAATAAAATAATATTTTCCTTCTTTTAAAATTATCAAATAATTATTATCGTTATAATTTTTCTAAATAAAATTGTCATCGAATTGAGCCCATATGGTATCGTATGACACTCGTGATATTATCATCATATTATTTTATCAATCACCCAATAAAACTAATAGGTGTCATACCACATAACACTTACTTTTTTTTTTTTATAAATAGAATGCAATTTAATAAAACTAAAATTTTATAAAATTAATAAAAGGAAAATATTTCATTAATTTGATTAAAACCATTAAAATGATAAAACGATAATTTAAATAAAACGACTATAAAATACATCTAATTATAATATTTTTTTATAATATCCGTTCTATCCTCAAAACCATATCGATGTTCGTTGTGAGTGAGATGATCGATTGATCTTGTTATAAAAATTACAAATCATGTTTTTTTTCTCCTCATTAGTTCTTTGTTTCGCCTCTCGCACTTTCTTTTTCTCTTCCATCTTTCTTTCTCATAATTCAAGCGATACTTAAAATTAAGATTATAAATTTCGAAACTAGAAGCGACCTTTTGAATGTCAGGGCCACTTCTAACACCTGATGTATTTGATGAGGACCCTTTCTTTTTTCGCCCCATTGGTCGACTACTTCTTCGAGTTCGAGCTCATCCTCTGATGAAGTAGTATAACTCGTCTCCGAAACTTTTGTTCTTTTCTCACCACCTTCTTCTTCTTCCCCGTACTCTTTTACCCATTTCGGGGATGCGGATAAAAATCTCCAAATATCAATAAATTTGAAAGACCTTTTAGTATCAACAAAATATATTTTAAGCATCGTCTTGATTTTTTTTTTTTTTGATCGTTTTCCCCACTTTTCCGTTGAGTAAGCAAGTTGTTGTAAATGTCGTTAAACTTGGTAACCGATTTGTTCATCTCTCGAAACTTGCTACAACATTGGTGTTTTGTACGATATGCCCTACGACCTATGACACTAAGTGTTAGGGGTCAAGATCCTTAAACCTATACAGAGTCCCGGATCTTAAAGGAGTCTCAGGATCCCAAAACATACATCAAGATCTTGACATCACCATTATTATTTCCTAACGAAATTAACGAGTATATTTATTGTTTATTCTTCACGTGTGCAAAATTAGTCAACAAAAGACTCATCGACTCTGAAGAATCGTTTCAATCAAGCTTAAGACCTGGAAATACCAAGTCAAGGCAACGTGCAAATACTTATTCAACAAGATCTCGAAAATATCGGACTTCTAGTTATTCGACCAAGGCTATAAATACACATGTATAAATCACACTACAACACAACTTAGACTCACTGAATAATTTGTGCTCGTACTCTCAGACTTACTTTTGTGATTTTCTTTCCGATTAATAGAAACTAACAAGCCAGGTGATCATAATCACCCCAATGTTTTATGTCAAATATCCTAACAATGAGCAATGAATTTCCTTGTAAATCACTTGTGTCATTTTGATCTCGATTTCATATTCATATTAGTCACGACATCACACCCTCTCATACAATTTGGCTGATATTTCTTGGATTGATTTATGACCAAAACAAATTGGCGCCCACCGTGGTGTCGTGGTGCTCATAATCCTATAAAATCATGTCTACGCAATCAACATTATCTTCCTCCTCTATTCTGTGACATCCCCTAATTTCTCGGCCAGAAAAGACCGATTTATTTTATGCTTTTTAAAATAAAATCAGAGTAATCCTTTTAAAAGATGTTGCGGAATTTGTTCCCAAAACAAAACATGATAAAAGTTTATCAAAACCTTTCTTTATGAAATATATATTTTCATTTCATATTAAAACCTCGGGATGTCATGTTCCGATACATATCAAAAGCATAAACAAGACATTATACGCCTTACCACAGTTATTTATAACTACTGGCCTATAAACCAAAAATCACTCATCATCATCATCTGACTATGTTCGGGGTCCACTACCTGTAATATAAAAAGCTGAGTGGGTCAGGCTTGGAAGCCTGATGAGCATATAGGGTTTTCAACCCACAATAAATAATAAACTTATTAAGTTCTCAATCAACAATAAATTTATTAATTTCATCAACCAAAAATAACCCTAATTACTCATTCCCATTATCCTCACTTTACGTCCCTAAAACAACTATCACAAGGGACCTAGCCTAAGGATTTTCACTAGGGGTGACAACATTGCTTCGGGGGTTCCTCAGCAATTTATGTCAAATAAGGCAACCATCGGGGTGACAACACTGCTTTCCTCGGCAATTTATGTCAAATAAGACAACCTAACATAAATCAACCAATAAGGTGACAACATTGCTTTCCTCGGCAATTTATGTCAAATAAACAACCAATAGGGTGACAACATTGCTTTCCTCCGCAATTTATGTCAAATAAGGCAAACATCGGGGTGACAACATTGCTTTTCCCTCAACAATTTATGTCAAATAGGCACGAAGTCAAATCGTCGCCAAGGTTTATACAACAGTCACTAAGTCCTTAACTCTTATTTATCGACAGTATTTCCCACGGGAATCCCCCCCGCAATACATGTCAATGGGTTTTTAGAGTACAGCAGATGAACATATAGTTCACACACCTACAGGTTGCGGGCCTGCTAGTGTTCCACAGACCGTCTAAAATAGTCCATGGTTGTCATCCATACTCTGCTGAATGACGGGGGCCAACGTTTGGGTAAGGGCTTTTTGTTGGATAAGGTGTCTAAGTCCATAACTTATCTGGTATATACTTGACCCGACCCGGCATGGTCCATTTGGGTTGCACTTCACCCGAACTATTTATATGGATAAAATTATGAGAAGAGTATATTTGCGGCCTATTAATATATTATAAGTTATAATATATTAATGTGAAATTGTATTATTTAATTAGTATTGATCTTAAACTAATTATGAAATAATTTAGTGATCATAAGGTAACTGACTAAATAATGGGCTATTGTATTTATATAGTGTGGGCTAACACTCATTAGGAAATGGGCTAAGCTTAAATGGGAGTCCATGGATGATCCATGGAGCTTTTAACCCATGGATCCTTGGAATAGGAAAAAACATGGGTTATTAGGGTTTGCATGGTTCATAACCCTAATCATCTACACTATATAAAGGGGCTTATGGTGCTTGAAAAGGACCATGTGTGTGTGCATAAGGTGTGGCCGATTTCTAGAGTATTAGAGTGCTCTCTCATAAGTTTTCCAAGTTTGTGGTGATTTGTGATTTCCATTTGAGGCATTCACATTATTGGTGCTTGGCTCTCAAACTCCTAAGGAATCAACTCACTAACAAAGGTATGTAATTCTTCTAGTATCTTTTATGTTTAAAAGTACCCCATGTATGCTAGATAGGTTATGAACCTTGGAAAATTATTTTTGCATGTATTTTAGACAAACATAGATCCAAGGTTTCTAGGGTTGCATGAACACCTTAGGAGTGTTAGTTTGCTCAAAACCCAACAGTGGTATCAGAGCCTAGGCTTGTTTGTTTGATACTTGATGCAAACTTGTTGAAAAACTCAAGTTTTCTGCATTCTGCAGCATGAACTCGATGAGTCCATGGGGGGACTCGCCGAGTCCATGAGTAAATTCATCCTACTCGTCGAGTAGGTTCGTGCACTCGACGAGTAGGAGCCTCAGAATGCAGATTTTCGAGTTTTGCTGCTGGAAATGGACTAGAAACATTACCCTAAGCTGTTTTTGGTGTTTTAAAACCTGTTTTAGATGGTGTAATGTTTATGCTAATCCATTTACATTGGCTTATATCAAAAATTGCATGATTATATGTGTTCATATGTTCTTGGAATTTTTGATATGATGTTCATGTTCTTATGAATTATTGTTAGATCATAGGAATTATTTGCTAAATTGTTTATTGATAATTCTTGATCATTTATGTGTTTTAATGGAGTCCATCATTTGTCCTCAAGTTATGGATTTCCAAAGGTCACTTTCATTTATGCACACTTAAAACACATAAGTTACATGAAAATGAAGAGTCTTCATTTTTATGAACCTTTAATTTATAAGTTATGAAATGAAAAGTTTTGAATAGTTTCAAGACTTGTCCTCAAGTTTTGGAATTTGTAAAGTTACACACACTTTAATATGTTTTAATTCCAAACCCTTAGAGTTTTAAAAGTTAAAATTCAACCCTTATACTATTTATAACATTAATGGTTAATTATTATATATATGTATAAGATTAAGTCGCTTTACCGTTAGTAGGCCTCATTCACGAAGTCGGTCTATAAGGGGGGTATAAGGTTGTTGCCTATAAAATGACAGCTTAATGGGTGTCCATTCTCACCCACCTTTTCCTTGATCGGTGGAGGGTCGTTAGCCGAATGGGTAGGACAATGACTTTAAATTCTCATTAAAAGTATAATGAATATTATAAAGTAACTAAACCTTTTATAAATTCCCAATCTTAGTTACTTTAGGAAAATGTGAATATGGTGCTAACCCATGAAATTCACACTTTGTACCTTACCAAGTCGTTGGTGGAGCGTGTGTGGTTAACCGGCACACTAACTTGGACTAGTAAGGATCACGAAGGGTGACTTAATGTTTGTCATAGATCGGTGGAGCGCGTGTGGTTAACCGACACATTGATTAGGTGATGATATTAAGGGTACCAAGTGAATTTGAATGGTTATTCACACCTTGTTTTGTGATCCTCGGCATCCCAGTCACAAAACTTGAAGGGCACAATCGAGATTGAAACATGTCATTGAAAAGTTCAATGAATCTCAAAAGAATATAGGAATTTCAAAACCAATTAAACCTAATAATTCATTTCGTTTTCATGGTGGGAATTGGTGAATCGTCATTCACCTACCTTCAAATATGTTATAGCTTAGATTACGGCATCCCTCTTCTAAGTTATAATATATTGTGTTGGATCCTAGCCTTAATATTACATTTGGGTGTATTATTAAGGATTCGATATATCTAATCTAAACTTGTTTTTCTTCTTTTCAGATGTTTTCCAACAACAATACTTCGGGCTCTAACCCTACTGGCTCCTTTTCTCTCATGAACCTTTGTGGGAGGGTCATCTTTGATGGTTCCAACTTCATGGATTGGATCCGGAACATCAGGATGGTCACTCGTTACGAGGACAAGGAATATGTCCTCGATAAGGAGCTAAAGGAGCTTGATGAGTCCACTGCTACTCCTGAGGAGGTCGCTGAGTATCAGGCACATGAGAGAGATGCCACCAAGGTGGCATGCATCATGATGGCCACCATGACAGCTGAACTCCAAAAGTCCTATGAGGACTATTACCCTTTTGAGATGCATCAGGATCTGATGGAAAGGTACCATCAGAGTGCTCGTCAAGAGCGGTATGAAATAATCTCCTCCATGATCACTACCCGTATGAAGGATAGCGAACCAATCACGGGCCACATGCAGAAAATGAAAAGGTATGTGGACCGTCTAATGAAACTGAATGTGAACTTCCCTGAGGAGTTGGCAATTGATATCATTTTGCACTCCTTGCCCTCGTGTTATGATCAATTTCGTATCACATACCACATGAACAAGGAGGAAGTCACACTCAGTAAGCTTCAAGGACTTCTGAAGACTGCCGAAAGTGGTCTTAAAAATAAGTCGGTTGCTACTCCTACTCCTACTACTACCCCTGCTTTGGCTATCGGGCAAGGCAAAGGGAAGAAGAGGAAGCACCCTTCTAAGGGTACCAAGGGAAAGCCTCTTGAAGGCTCCTCATCTGGAACCAAAAGTGGTTATATCACTCCTTCTGCCATCCGTAAGGATGTTGAATGCTTCTATTGTCAGAA